TCTATGGAGGGTAGTCCCATGAGTTGATTAATTTCCTTTTGTTCAACAAAGATTTGCAGGTGCTTTTCTTCCTCCTCCTTCTCCTCTTCCTTTCCTTTTCCTCCTCTTTCTCTTCCTCTTTCTCCTCCTCTATTCTCTTCCTCCTCCTCCTCCTCTATCTCCTCCTCAAACCGCACTCTCTTCTAGCACTGATGATGTGACCTAGTTGGGTAATGAAACGTCTGCAAGAAAACAACCCAGCTCAGAGAGCACCGAGGACCCCACAGTCATTCTCCTCCTCCTCCTCCTTACTTCCTACTCCTCCTCGAGCTTCCATTCCACAAACCCCACTCTCTTCTAGCACTGATGATGTGACCTAGTTGGGTAATGAAACGTCTGCAAGAAAACTCACCAAACTCCGAGAGCACCCAGGGACCTCTCAAAAGAAATAGGCTTTTTAGGCCTGACCAGCCTTTCTCCTAAATCATCCCCATCCATGATTTAGAAAGGCCCACTATATATTTATGACACCTTCATGAAATATATCACAATTTCCTTTTATGTACTGGGTAAGAGGCAAGATATTTTTGAGCTATGGTTTGCTTGCATCAAAGACTTTTAAATCTTAAATATAAGGAGATGTTCTTCTCCCACCGCTGCTGTTCCTAACCTGTCACAATGAAAAATGAGTCCAAGAACATTAAGACTTCCCGTCTGTAATTACATCCCACTTTAATTCAACGTACGCTATATTTATGGAGGATCAGAAACAATAACATTTCAAAGCAGCCTTGCCATTTTGTCATTTTTGTCAACCTTGCGTACCAGAATACATCCTGTCTTCATGAATATTTTAAGAAATCATCAAACATGGCCTTTGATTTTTAGGGTGGGGGGAATGTTAATAAGCCCAAGGCAGGGATGAATAGTTAGAGCTGTTGCCATTAAAGAACACTGTAGGTGATAACTTGCAATTTCCTCCCTTTAAAAATCATATATATATGAGAAATAATTGATACTTGGAGGAAGTCTGGAGTTAAATAAAAAATATCGAGCAAAAACTATGCATTGTACAGTTGACTTGACTTGTCTTGACTTATGACTGGCTGTTTAACAACCGTTTGAACAGTGGTGGTATTCGGCCGGTTTGCACCGGTTCAAGCAAACCAGTAGCAAGGATTTGGCGTGGGTTGCCGAACTGGTAGTAACTTCTGTTTGGCGACACCCCTGACCCAGTCGGCGGTTGGTCACTTGCCCCGCCCTCCCGATGCTCACTCACCCCGTCCACCTGACGCTCACTCTGCCCAGTCATTCCTTCAGGTATTTCTTTGTTTTTCCATCCCAACGATCAGCTGTTCCTACGATCAGCTGTGCCAGGATTCCTCTCGCTTACTTACCGCTTTGCCCAGGAGGCTTCCCTGAGGCCCAGGAAGGCAAAAAATGGAGGGAGGGGGGGCACAAAGCTTGGGTCTTCGCTATCCCTGCCTCAGAATAACAGAGTAACAGAGTTGGAAGGGACCTTGGAGGTCCTCTAGTCAACCCCCCTGGCTTAAGTAGGAGATTCTATACCAGGGTCGATTTCATTGAGGGCCGCGTCAGGGTTGTGTTTGACCTCGGTGGTCTGGGGAGGGGGGCACAGTCAGGATGGGCCTGGCCAGCTCGACGTCACTCATGTCGGGGGGCACCTGGGGCGGCCAAGTGCCAAGGCAGGACCTCCCTCAGACCTTCCCTCATTCTCATTATAATCTCCTTCCTTCCTTCCTTCCTTCCTTCCTTCCTTCCTTCCTTCCTTCCTTCCTTCCTTCCTTCCTTC